TTATGAGGCTGAATTCCTATCTAAGTCTGGATTATGTTGTTTTGGGTAAAATAGGTGAAAAATAAAAACAAAACAGACTTCAAAATAAAACGAAAATAGAAGCAGAAGGGGCCATCCTAAATCGAAATGAAAATTAGAAATAAATAGGAAACAAATAGTAAAAAAATGCTTACAAAATGGACTTACAAATAGGATGAAAATAGACAAAAAATAGAAGCTCAAGGGGCTAGAATAGAATAGAATAGAATAGAATAGAATAGAATAATAGCAAAGTACAAGATACAATAGAATAGAATGAAAATATAATAGGCATCGAATTGAATTCGAATGGAATCAAAAAACAAATGCACAAGGGGCCATGCCAGAATTGAACAGAATAGCATAATAGAATAGTATAGGACTAGGACAGAATAGAATAGACTAGAATACAAATGGAATTAAATGGAATAGGAATCGAATAGAATACGAACCGAATAGAATCGAATAGAAATCGCAATAAAATAGGGGAAGCATAGACTAGAGACTAGAGCGGAACGCTGCTGCGGGTGCCTGCCGAGACTCCATAGCCATAGTGATTAATAATATAGTGTGATAGAATCTGATAGAAGTAATTAGTGACTAGTGTTTCCCTGAGGCCCGTGTGAATGTGCGCATGCTGCATCTGCATGTCCTGCATGTCTGCGCATCGTGTTCTCTTGCCTCGTGTTGTTGTGCACGCATGCCGTGCATGTGCCATCTGACATGTCAGAACCGAGGCTGCAAACGTGCGAAATAAACAAGCCGAACAATGATGTCGTTAGGGCGCTTGGCTTGCACCGCGCGGACGTGACATGACGTGACTGAGCTTAAGTCTGTGTCGTCGTCGTCATGGGATCAGCGAAATTTGCAAAATGACTAGCAGTGACTAGCTTGGCTGCTCGGCGTTTCCAGATCGAGAATCGAGAATCGAGATCCAGCAATTCAATAAACGGCCATAACGTGACAGGACTGTAGACTGTAGAGTCGAGTGTTGCGTCACATGTCACATGTCAAGCCGGAAGAAGAATCAGAGGTCTCGCATTTTCCTCGGACTCGAATCAGATGACTCCTGAGTCTGGTGAGTCTGGTGGTTGCTGACTGAAGCCGCTATGGCCAGGACCCATTCAGGCCCATGACCCAAGCCTCAACTGAACGTGTTTTAAAGTTTAAACCGCCTCGCAAGACTCAAGCTTCCCACTGTCACAGTGCAGCTGCAGCCGGCATCCAAGGAATCAATATATGCCTGGCCTATGCCAAGGCCAAGTACGTCTACGTCTATAGTCTATGCCGTCTATGCGTGCCTACGCCTATGCCCTGCCCAAGCTTCCTACAGCCACAGCCACAGTCACAGCTGGCGCAGAAACAATCCAAAAACTAGCGTTCCGTAACCCTAAGCCCTAAACTTCCTAAACATACTGTTACTATGCCCGGGAAGACTCACAGGTCCAGGGGCCTCTCGTTGCTCTCGCTCGAGCCGCTCGAGCTAGCAGCTAGCAGCTAGCACCTAGCCGCCTAGCCTAGCCAGAGCCACTGTCGGAGCTGCCTCGCTGCTAGTCTGAATCTACGAATCTAGACTGAATCTACACTACTACGGCACTACATCACTCACTACGGCTACGGGACTACAGCGCCATGGTGACGCACATGCTTCTGCTTCTTCTCTGGGCAGACTCGCAGAGCATCTCACCACAGGGTCCGCAAAATGTGAATTGAATCGAACTTCCCAAAGGCCCAAACACTCCAGCCAAGTGCAGCTGGCTCTGCGTCTGTATCTATGTCTATGTCTATGTCTATGTATGTCTGAGTCTGAGTCTGAGTCTATGTCTATGTCAATGTCTATGTCTATGTACAAGTACGGATGTCATAGTCGCGTCATTGTGACCCATTGGGAGATCCGAAATGCTAGTGACTCGTGCCACTCGTGCCTGGGTCCTGGGTCCTGGGTCTCGGGCCTCGGGGTTACACACCTGGGGGGGCCTCAAGCTTCAT